CTGTATGCTTAGCACTTGGCAGTCTTAGCTTAGGGATCTGTGACATAGAACCTTTAGGCCTGCTGTGTTGCCTTTGGTTAAATTGTCAGTTGAGAAATTAAGGTGTAAGTTAGATGCACACCCAGCCTCTTTAGCTCACCTTACTGTTTCTGTTTTTGTACTCATGTATTTGGCAGCAGTGTGCTTTGCATGCCTCTTTATCTTCACAGTGTTGGGAAATCTTACCCGCCCCCCCATTCTCTTTCACAAGAGATCCAGACTAGCTTATTGTGTGAGCTATTTCAGTTCATGGCTCTCCTGAACTTGTGTTATATGGATGGTTTTCCTCTCGCTGTTTGGCATTCTGAAATATGATTAGTGCTTCCCTCTGGCTTGGAATGTAACAGTTCTTGCACCCAGCATGCCCCTGAGTCCTCTTAAAGGAATGTGCCCGTTATTATCTATTTCCTTCATTCTATTTTTCATATCCAGTTTTGTATATCCATTCTTTCCAAGGTTCTTCTGATTGGTTTCTTCATTCCTTTCATCATTGCTAGACTAGAAATCACGAAAACACAGTGATTCAGAACTGATCTGGGCTTATAGCCAACCTAACTGAGAAGACTTGAGCTAACATAGAAGTTACTTTGTTTACTCGGCATGTGACTTTCATGATGCCTGTCAGGCAGAAGTTTACATGAATGTTTAATATTTGAAAGGAAAATTAAATTTCAAGTAGAGTCGTCCCTGGCTCCATGGGCCCCTTCCTTCCTAACATATGACCCCTCAAATTGTCATTTCCGCTTCTCTTCTTTTGTCTTTATCCTTCTCTGCATCCTCCACTACCATCCACTCACATCCAAATGTTTGCAACTGCATTCCTTTGTAATTCAGTGTGTTTTCTGTTGTATTTTTAAAAGTCTAATGCCTAACAGTTTATGATGTACACTAAGTAGACAAATAAAAAGTCATGGTTTTGGTGTGTGTGTGTGTGTGTGTGTGTGTGTGTGTGTGTGTGTGTGTGTGGAGGGAGAGGGAATGAGAGAGGGAGAGGTGGGGAAGTCTGGTACATTTCCTCCCTGCCCCACAGAAAATGTGTTTTCTGGAAGCCCTTTTGACACTGAAGTGAATGCCCACTTGCCCTCCCTTTCTGAAATCTCCTGAGAGGAGAAAGAGAGCGAGAGGCCTTTGTGCTTGTTGTCATCTTTTGTTTCTGCTGATTATACACAAAGTGAGTTGTAAATCGCTCTCTCATGCACTGTGATTCCTCCTGAGGTATGTGCAAGAGAGCGGCCAGGTACCGAGCTTAGCTTCCCCTGGAGATCTCACAGGGCCCTTTGCAAGGCTGCTCACTTGCTGTTACTGCACCAGAAGAATGAGGTCTGTATGCTCACAACAGAATCCCACAAGGGAGCCTGTGGAATCAAGTTTAGAAATACTAGCTGATTGGCTCATTAATTTTTTCCTTCAACAAAAAATTATTTTATTACTCTAAAAGCAAAATATACTAAGAAGCAAGAATAACAAAAACTATAATTTCCATAAAGTCCTAATCCTTATGATATTTTGTGAAAATCATTGTCGTTTCATTGGTATTGAAGCAGACACCAAGACAAAGGAACATGGGTAAAGAAGAATCTCAAAGTCATTTTAATATTTATATTCCAAACACTAGATAGGCCCTCTCGATGTTTCAGTATGTGAGTTCATGGTAAAGATAAGGCAGCCAGTTGTGTCCGTTCTTCCTGTAGGTCGCTTTCTGCTTGCTTGGGGTCAGCTGGCTGACTTCTGAGGTTTTTAGGCCGGAAGACGGAGTAAAGTATGCCAAATCACAGCTGATTAGTTTGTTGTCCTTTAGGCCCTGATGCTCACCTTCGCTGAAGAATCTCTCTGTCTGATACTGACCGACACTGGCTGTGGCAGTTGCGGTAGGGTGCTGGATTTGGTAGAGTATAACCATACTCAACTGCGCAGTGGGATTTGAACCCCAGTTCTCTTGTTCTAATAATATGGTAGTCTACTCTAATGTTCCCTTATGTTTTTCTTCTTCCTGCTGGAAATGCCAGGACTCCAAGTTCAGGAGTGCTGCCCACTGCCAGTTCTTTGCAACTAGGACTGTTGAGACGTGCTGGTAGCTTGCTATGGTTTTCCTTCCCAACTTAAAAGACCTTGTTTCCTCTCAGAACTCTGTTTCTAAGTGTCTGAAGTTGTAATTGAATGTAATTATAGTTGTTTAACTTTCTCCTTTCCTCTTGAGAGTGTTTATAGAGTGCATTCTGTGAGTGTGAGGATAAAAAGAAACTAGAAGCTTAGTATTTGTGACATGGTCAAATAATATTAAGATAAGTAGCAATTTGCTTTGTGTATGTGAAATAAGGTATTTGTTTATACACAATTTACAAAATATACATTCTGGCTTATGGAAAGCATTTCATTCCGCTCAGTAGTCACATTTGTTAGAGTTTTATAGGAATCTTTTGCAGGATGGGAGAGGATTCATTTTGATATTGAATATTCCAAGATTGATTTTTATCCCTTTCCTTTTATTGTCCCCTTGAGAGAATTACTGATGCAGAACTCATTAGTACCCCTCCACATGTCAACTGCAGGGTACAGTCAGCATCATTTCCATTTGTGACACAACTCAAACTCCTCACGGCCCTGTTTCTCTATGCCTCGATTTCCCCTTACTTCACAACATTCTTTATTGAAAATGCTTATGTTGTTATAGACTAAAACACAAACAGTGGGTAATTCCCTGTATTATCTTTATAACATGTAAAATCAACAAATACCTTTAGAATCAATGACAGTAAATGAAGTTTTCTTTTTGTATGTCCTCAATATTTCTTTTCCTTTTTATTTCTAAAGTTTGAATTTTACGACTTAATAACAAATAACCCAGAGGTAATTTATATATTCTAAATCTTGATTTTTGCCTAGAAAATGGAAATACTCATATAAAATTGTTGAAGATAAAAAGTGACTTAATTTATATAAGGCACCTACACAGTGGGCTTGGTAAAATGCTTGTATGAAAAGAGGGATTACTGGGAGCTGGAAGGTGGCTCTGTGGTTAAGACACTGGTGGCTCTTCCAGAGGACCTGGGTTTCTTGCACCCATATTATGGTTCACAATTGTCTGTAATTCAAGTTCCAGGGGATCTAACACCCTATTTTGGCCTCCATGGGTGCCAGGAATGCATATGGTATGCCGACGTACATGCAAGCAAAATCCCCACACACGTAAAAACAAAACAAAGACTTTGGACACCGTGGCACATGCTCGAATCCCAGCCCTTGGGTGGTAGAATCAGGCAGACTTGGGCTGTAAGGTCATCTAGAGTTGGATAGGCACTTTAGAGGCCAGCCTGGTTTGTATGAGACCCTGTCTCATAAACAAGCAAGACTTACTAACTGTGACAGCAGATGATATTTAGGCATTTTACTCTTTGGTCCTCAGCTTGAAGGACAAATAAGATATTTAAGTAGGAAGGGTCTTGGGCCTAAAAATATTTGGAAAGTTGACTGGGTTTGAAAAGTATGAGAGGTCCTTAGGGCAAGTGGGATGTAGTAACAACTGTTTAGAGCTTGAGCCGGAAACTAATTTGCTTAGTTGAGAAAAGGAAGGAATCACTTCAGTAGCCCACTTGGCTGAGAAGTGGCCTCTGAACCAGGACATTGGTTAACATGGATGACCACTGCAGTTCTGAAAGACTTGAACAGCAAACAGACAGAAGACACAGGTGGTATGTCACATAGTTGATGCACTGAGGTACCTGTTGGTAGATACGTGATTAGCACAGATTGTATGTGTTGGCAAACACCAAGGAAAACATTTATTTTATGTTTGCTATTCTGGGGGTGGAATCCAGAGCCTCACTTACCTTACTTAATCTATCTTTGAGATAGATCTCCAGGCCCCAGGGCAAATTGTTAAAAATAGGAAATAAGTTTAGAAGGACTGTAAATCCATTTCTCTTCATCTTAAAAATCAAAGATGAAATTAGTGGGAGTAGGCAATATGTAGGGATGGTACTGACTGACTGTAACAGAAGATAAAATTCTGGAAAAGGATTTTCAAAGATGGGGTAGAACTATCGATGCCAAGAACCATCTACTAATTTAAAATGTTTTATTGCTGTTTTTTTTCAACAAATTTATACAACATTTCTTATACTAAAAAGTAGTAAGTATTGGGAGCTGGGAGTTTTGATAGCAAAGCACTTGACTACAGTGTGTCCAATATTAGGGTTAGTGTTCTACCCATATGAACAAAACAGTCCCCCCCAAAAAAAAAAAACAAGACAGTAGAATGCAAGCAAAAATATTTATAAGGTAAATTTTACCTTATATGGAAAGAGGAAATTGAACAGATATTTTAAGAGTTGAAAGAAACTTTAGACAGTATAGAGTGCTGCTCACTCAATTTTCTATGGAATTTGGAAGATCAAGTGAAAAGAAGATATTACCAACATCCAGGAGAGGGTTTGTGTTTCAGTCTTTATTCTTCCTTTCCTTTTTTTCTCTCCTTTTTAACTCCTCTTCTTCCTGTTATGGATATTTTGTGCTGTGTTATGTAATTGTGGGGCTGAGGCCATGAGGGCAGAATTTATGTTTATCTTTTCTTCCTCCTCTTTCTCCTCCTCCTCCTAGTCCTCTTCTTCTGTTTGTTTTTTGAGACAGGGTTTTTCTGTATAGCCTTGGCTGTACTGGACTCCTATTGTAGACAAGGCTGGCCACTCAAAGAGATCTGCCTGCCTCTGCCTCCCAAGTGCTTGGATTACAGGCATGTGCCACTGTGCCAGGATGTATCTTTTCTCCTTATAATGGCCTTTCCATAGTTGATGAGCTAAGTTTCATGTATTTTCAATATATTTGTCCTGGCAGATGTCAAGTGTGTGTCAGGTCATCATGGCCTTTTTGAGATCTGCAGTTGGGATGTCCCTACTTCTATCTGGGTGTAGTGTGATTATGTGCAGACTCCATACCCAGCATCTAACCTGGCCATATCCCCTCAGGTTCCACTGGCATGTGCTGGCAGAGTGCTGGGTGCAGACTTTTGCCCAAACCTGGAGGAGCCAGACCAGAGGCTGGAAGTCCAGGTTGGAGTCTTACTGTTTTATTAGCTGGGGGTGGTATGGCAGAACCAATGGTCCCTGGAGGCTAGTGGTATCAGTGGTATCAAGAGATGCCAACACTTGAGATAAGTGTAAAGAGGGATCGATGTAGCAAATAAGTAGCAAAAGGGCCTTGTAAAGATGAGTTGTCTATAATTGGGAGAAAATTATTATTCATTCATCCATCCATCCATCCACCCATCCATCCACCCATCCATCCACCCATCCATCCACCCACCCACCCATCCATCCATCCATCCATCCATCCATCCATCCATCCATCCATCCATCCATCCATTCATCCATCCATCCATCCCCTGATCCATCCAAGAGATGAACTGTGGAGTAGGAAAAAAAATCCTGATCCCTGAAGGCTGACAAAGGTTGCTATGAATCTTTGGCAAATAATTTAACCTTGTTACTTAATAAGAAAAGCAACACTTAACAGTAAGTATCTTCTTAGTACATTGGGAAAGGTGGGCAAAGTACATTTTTCCTAAAAGTGTTGGCTTGGATTTTAGTTCACTTTGTGTGCCTTGAAGCATTAGACCTATCTTGGTATATCGCAAAATAAAAATATAAAGATGATGAAGAATATCCCTGCTTCTGTGTGCTTCTGGATTTTAGAGGGATGTATTTGCCATTACAATGTACAGGCTGAAGTTTAAACATAGATGGCATGAATAAACCCAATTTTTTTCAGAGTTTCAACTTGGCACCATTTTTTAGATTTTTCAGGTTTTACAGAATAAGTATGTTGAGTGCAATATTAAAGTTTTGTGTTTTTTTTCTAATTTGGATGCAATACATAATAAAAGTGAACAATTTTTACAATTGAGTTCTGTGTAGTGGGAGTGAAGGTGAGGTAGGAAGTCTTCTGTTTTTACAGCACTAACGGGGGCGGGCCATCTTTTGCACACCTGCTCTTGGCCGAGAGGAGACCACCTGAGCTTTGTTGTGTCCCAAGCTGGTACTGTCTGGTTGGTGTATGGATGGGGCACAGTAGAAAAAGCAGGTGTGACACATTCAAGTCATGATCGTGTATTCACTAGTTCTGGAAAACTCACGGTGTGTGTGACATACAAATGCAGGATGACAAAAGCCTTTTTGTGGGGAGTATCTTGATCTTTGACCTTTGGCATGACATGGGGATATTATTCCAACAGCTTCTCTGCGTGGATTGTTGAATAATCTGTTCCCAATTTTGAGTTATAGTGCGAAGAAAATGGGCTTGCAATGTCAGTTTACAATAAAATATAAAAATATTTATTTAGCATATTATCCTGGCATAATTACAGAGGGAAGAAGTATATGTACAAGTTTAGTGAAATTCTGGTTGTAGGCAAACGGTATGGTTGACAAATCATTGTGGGTTCTGCAAAGAAAATCAGTCTTTCACAAAGTAACGAAAGGGATCACATTACTAGTTCCTTCTTCCTGTAACACTATTTAGTAGACTGAAGAGGAAAATTAAGTCTCTTGAAAGATTGGTGAATTAGCTGGAACACACTTAAACCATTTTCTTCTCTTTTCCTTTCTTCCCCTGCGTTTGGCTTTCATACATTTTAGTAATACCTATTTTGGCCATATTATGTCAGTTACAATAAACTCAATCTGTTCTTTACCGGCTAACTGTTCTGGAAGTATTTTTAAGCTTCATCTCATTCATTATTGTCATGGTGTTTAGATTGCTCAGCTTTTTATGTGAGAGAAAGAGCTGTGGACTTAAAGGAATTCACTGCAGAACTTGCCAGAGCCATCTACTTTTTTCTTGCTTTGGTCTTAGGCTTTTCTCTAGTGCCAGGCATGGTCAAGGCTAGAGGGTTGCTGCCCGGCCTCATGATTCTCAGTGTAACCCTCAGGGAAGCTCACTTTAGAAGCAATACATTGCTTATATTCTATTTTACAAAGAGTTTACCTTTAGGGAAAACTCTCATGTATGGGTTAGTTTTTGTACATTAGTTGATTTAAGTTCTCATGGCTGGTGAAGCCTCTTTCTGTCTTTCACTTCTTCTTGTTAAACCCTTGCCTTTTATTCTTACATTTTCAGCTGTCTTAGCAGATTCATGGCTTAATGATTTTGAGATTCCCGATACTTATCCTTGTGTCTTTGGTCTTTAGTAACTGACCTACAAGTCTGAGCCTGGATTGACTTTAGCAAAGGTATCTGTTGTGTTTTGGGGTTAATATGTTTGATAGACCAGTAGCTAGAAAGTCAGTTCAGTTTATGTCTTGGCTTATTTTCCTCAGTGGTTTCTGAAGTACTTGTGAAGCTGGCCATTTTCTGCTTAGCTTGGGAGTTTAATTGGTAAATAACAGCACTGGACTGTGTATCTGCACAATTGCCTTCTAGGAAGTGGTCCTTCTAGGACAGACCCTTCGTAATATATATAATAAAAAGTTACCTTCTTTAGCCAAGCAGCATCTCATCAGGGATTGAGTTGTTAAGGTTAATTTGGCCATTCTTTTCTTGTTTGGGAGTTCATGATGTGAGCTTTGACTTGGTGTTTTTCACCATTGAAGTGCTTAGAAAATTAGAGTAAATAATGAACAATATTTTGATACCAGATTAGACACAATTTACTGTGATGTTTCATAAACCACAGACTCCTTTCTTCTGTGAATGCGTGAAGGCTCTCTCTCTCTCTCTCTCTCTCTCTCTCTCTCTCTCTCTCTCTGTTTTTTCCAGACATACTGGGGTACAAGTGTAAATTTCCATAAAATTTAAATGAGGTGCTTCCTGTAATTAATGAACAATTGTGGCTGCTCTCTGGTCTGCATTGTAATTAACCGTGATCAGGCTTGTTTAGTGATGACACCGTTCCTGTAATAATTTGACAAGCTACTGTGAATTTGCCAGGTTATTAAACAACCTGCAGCATTCGTTCATGGAGTCGCAGGGATGCGCGCCGCAGCAGCAGCCACCGCTGGTTAGATGCAGCGTGAGGGCGAAGCAGAAGCAACCCCCCGGAGTCTGCGCATCACTGCAAGCAGATTTCTCTCCCTGTGGTTTTGGAGAACTTAATTAATGTGGCACGGGGGTATCGGGGAAACTTTGTTTATTGTATGATGAACCCACCGGGACAAAGGTGATCACCCTGCAGATTGTCTGTAGGGCATCAGTGTGAACCATGTAGAGACAGGTTTCCCTTACCACCTTACTAGATAGGTATAACTGATTTTTAAAATACCTTTGCAGGTTTACTTATATATATAGCACCCCATATAATGTTATTTTCTCTCCATTTTTTTTTTTGTTTGTTTGTCTGTTAGAAACAGCACATGACTGTGTGCTGAGCAGTCACATTGCAGGTACTCAGCTTGGAGTGGACTGATGGCCTTCCGTCCCTGGTCACCAGTGCACAATCCTCTCCTCCCCCACCTCCCTTCAGGTTAAGAGCTGTTCAAAACCTTACTGTCTAGTTACTGTGGTGTCTTTCATTCAGATTCTGTTTATTGACTAAAACCGCAAGGACTCCTGCCCAAAGTACCAGGCGGTCTCTGCTTGACTGATTTTGATTTTCTAACATCAGCCCTGGGGTTTATTTGAAATATGTACACACACTGCAGCTTTAACAAGTCAAGTGACTGCATGTTTTTTACCATGGAGTAGAGTAGATCTGAAGGTCATTAAATTTGGTTGTGGTGGTAGCCGTGGCCGAGCATAAGTGTAGTAGTCCTTGTGTATTTATTTGTGTGTGTGTGTGTGTGTGTGTGTGTGTTAGAGGAGAGAGAGAGAGAGAGAGAGAGAGAGATGGTTTTTTGTCTTTTCATCTTATCCAAGAGCCAGAAAGTTTCCTGCCGTTCTCTTTCCAGCTATTGACAAATGATTGCCAGATGTGAAATCTTTGCAGTGCTCTTTCCCTCAGCAAACCTGCAGTGAAAGGATATTTGATTCTCCCTTGCCCATTTCATCTCCTTTCCACATCTGCCAGGGACACACAAGCAATACATCCCTACATGAGAGTTTAAAGTTTACGCAGCTCCTTTCCCCCTCAGATAAAGTATTCCGAGACAACAGAATGAGGTCCATATGACACTCTCTGAACTTCACTGTATGAAATTAGTTGTTTATTTTCCTTATCTACCTCTCAGTCTCAGTCCAGGGAAAATTTGACGAAACTCCTTGAGTGCTAAGAGATTACTATTGTCTGCTGGCTACAAAGAGTGTAAACCACTACAGCCCCTCAGCTCTGAGAAAGACGTTCCATTTCACAGGACACCCCAGGAAAGGACTTAACATACAAAAACAAAATGTTGAATGCTGTGTACAATGCAACAGTCATTTAAGATAAAAAAAAAAATCCATCATAGGTGTGGAAAAGTCACCTTGTTTGACTTGATTTGTTTTCCCTGTGTTGGAATTCATTGTTTAAGTTGCTACATAGGAGGCTGTAGTTTCAATCACAAGTAGCTTGTAAAAGTGTACTGAGTTTGGGAAGCATGTGGAATTAGCTGGGTTGGGGAGGCCACACACATAATCACTAACATGCACAGAGGCCTTTTGCATCTGTTTAGAATCTGTATTGATATTGATTTTTTTCTCATCTCAGTTTGAAAACAGTTTCTAAGATGCCCGTATAGCTCATGTTCTTGCTATAGGGTGGGCTGACACAGGTGGCCTTTCTGTTTTCCTATTACACTTTTTGGCAAACGAAAAGGCCCCTTATTCCCTGAATAAGATCAGGGCATTTTTTTAAACATTTAAAAAATAATCCATAAAATGTCTGCCACATGTTCTCTAGTTTATGGAAATGTTTTCCAAATCAGAGCCATGAATTGAATTCTTATTGTAAACATGCCGGTGTGTTTATTTCTGCCACCTTCTTAGCTACCTATGATTTCTGTTTTTACATGAACTTGTTTTACCTGAAATTCAAATGAAGAATACAGAAGATATCTCTGAATTTTTAGACTGAGACTTTTTATTGTTGTTATTAAAGTGGTCAGGCATCACATTCAAAACAGGAAAGAGGAACTTTGTT